GAGAAAAAAAAAAAACACGCGCTCTCTCTCACACACACACACACACACACACACACACCCCTCACACAAAACTTTCTGCATTTTTACATAAAATAAAAATTTAATTCTATATGATTTATAAATTGTTTTCCTCATGTGGACCAAAAAAAAAAAAGTCAAAAATGACTTGTCCCTTGTGGGGACATTTGGTCCCCATAACGTAGGGAATACCAGGTTCACACACACACACACTTTCACTAAGCATTGGGAACTATAGAAAGCCAGAGTGTGGCTATTTGTCAACAGTCTTGCTCAAACAGCCATCCTTCAGTGTTTGTGTGTAATGGGTTCGGAAGAGGCAGAAAAATTTAATGTCCTGCACTTAGGCCTTGTTCTAGTCTTTCTCAACACAGGAAATTAAAAGAATTTATGTGAAAGAGGCATTTCGCAGTTGTGGCTGGCAAAGTTGAATTTGGGTCTGCCTGATTCAGTTTCACTCGCAAGATATCTCATGAGAACACTAATAATGTGTAACTACCATATGGGCTTCCCTGCTAATATAACTTTTAAACAATGAGCACATCAAAAGCTCTTTGTCAAACAAAAATAAATTGGCTTTTAAAGATGCACTCAGTAAATTTTATTGATGTTTTGCTGGCCGATATTGCAGTGAATTTATACTGACTTAAACTGACACCCAGCGGCATGAATTTAGAAGCTGAAGTTGTCAGGTACTGTAGAAATGTGCAATTAGCACATAATCTGGCATGGTTAATTTATTACTCGAGCAAAATAACTTATGAGGCGATCTGCTCTATGTGAAAAAAAAATGGTAACGCTTTCTAATAAGGTCCCAAAAGTTAATGCATTAACATTACAATAATAAGCAATTAATTTGTTACAGTATTTATTAATCTTTGTTAATATCAACACATCTTTGTTAATGTTAACAAATGGAAGTGTTACCAAAAATGCTTTTTTTTAGACTTTTAATGTGACTGGGGTTTTCATCTTATATGAGTGGAAGTAATTATAAAGTTTTTAATAAGATAAAAAATGACTTGATGCACCTTTAAGTGCTAATAACAGATGTTATATTTTTGGTAATATTTGTTAGCACTGCATGTCAAGCAGATTTTATTTTCAGATACATATTTTGAGAGCAAACAGTTAATTAATAAAAACGGTTAAAATTAATTTGGTTATAAATTAAATTACATTTTTATAATAAATTGATTGCTTACATAAGCTTGTTTTATATTGTAACAAATCATTTTACCATTTTATTTTTTATTATTTTAGTTAATTTTCCATTCATTTTCCCTTTTTTTTCTGATGATAATGTACGATTCCTATAATATTTTTTCATGATTGTTTTTTTGTACAGAACAGTATGGAAGCTTGTTTCCACCACTAAATAAAAATCTGACTTTTTTTTCTCAGAATTGTGTAATATAAACTCTAAATTGCAAGTTATAAAGTAAAAATTGTGTCATAATCTCGTAATTGTGTCTTATAAATTCAGAATTTTGATATAAACTCTCAGTTCTGACTTTTTTCTCAGAATTGTGAGTTTATATCTTGCAATTCTGGCTTTATTTCTCACAACTGCATGTTTATATCTCTAAAAAAAATCTGAATTGTGAGATAAAAAGTCACAATTATTATTATTATTATTATTTTATTTTTTTATTATTTATTTATTTTTTATTATTATTATAATTTTTGTTTTATTCAGTGGTGGAAACGAGCCATCCATAGAATACAAAATATGAGCATTTTCACTTTTTTTTTCATAGGTCTTTGCACACTACTGTAAATAACTGTATAATTGTATTTTTTGTATTTAACTTGTCATCATATAAAGATGTGATGTGATGCCCTGCTGTGTGCAGATGTGCGGGGCATGGGTGTGGTGGCTGGTGCTGTGGTTGGCGTTTCATTCGGCGTTCTGCTCCTCATTCTCATCATCTGGCTGGTCTTCCGCAAAAAAGAAAAGAAGAAATATGATGAGGAGGAGATGCCTAATGAGATCAGGTGAGATCTCAGTATTGATTGTGTTTTTATACTGTAGTTCCACTTTAACTCTTAATATTCCTGCAGTAGAAAAACTGTGACTGTGTTTTTGAGTGTGTTCAGGACAGCTCACTGTGACACACTCTTCATATTGTCTGCAGGACAATCTTCATAATACATCAGACAGCTGTTTTTTAGGTCTGTAGTGACAGAACTTTACTGTTTGTGTTCACATCAATAATGCAGCCACAAACCACGGCTTTACAGTATCTCTGAATTATGCACACACAAACAAATGGTGTTTCTGTGCACGGTGACTGTCATGTCACCGTAGGATAATACAGGAGTAGCTTTGTTACAAGATAGCTACCTGCAGGATACTAAATGTGTCTAGTTGATACCAATACAACTAAAATTTCATATATTTTCATTATAATGAAAACTATTATGCTATAGTTGAACTATCTCCTTTTTTAAAAATAAAAAGATATATAAAAAAAGATATAAATAGAGCAGACAGTGCTTAAAGTTTTTCTGTCTATTAGCATCAGATATTTAAGTAAACATTAAAAAAATAAAATGAAAATTCTGGAATATTTAAATGTAAAACAAAACTACTGATACTATATAAAGACTGCCGTTTATTAATCAATTAATTAATTGATTCATTCATTCATTATTAATGTATTGTTTGTTTTGTTTTGTTTTGCTTGTTTGGATGGTTGGGTTTTTTGTTTGTTTATAATTATTTTGTTATTTTAATATGATTATTTTATTATTTTAAAATATTTTAAATTTATATTTATAATAATTATTTTTAATTAATTTAAAATGGCGGCACACTTAGACGCAATGGCTGCTTCAGGTCCTGATTGATTGATTGATTGATTGATTGTAATTATTTGATTATTTTAATAATATTATTTTATTATTTTTTTAATATTTTATATTTATATTCATAATAATTATTTTAATTGAATTTAAATGGCAACACACTTAAGTGCAGTGGCTGCTCCAGGTCCAGACTATTGATTGATTGATTGATTGATTGATTGATTGCCTTTCTATCAATATACCGGTCTTTTTGACATCTCTAACCAATGTCTATAATTCTGTTACTTTTGTAGAGAGGATGCAGAAGCTCCTAAAGCCAAGCTGGTGAAGCCCAACTCCCTCTCCTCGTCTCGCTCTGGCAGCTCCCGCTCCGGTGCTTCCTCCACACAGTCCATGGTGCACAACAGCACAACCCGAAGCCAACGTCCACGGCCACCCGCTGTCGCCACCCTCAAGGAGAACGGACAGCCCCACGGGTTCCCCCAGTCTCCCCCGGCCTACACGCAGGTCGTGCCTAAAACCCCAGAAACCCCGGCCACCCCAAAATTCAGACCCCCCAATCCTCCAGTGGGCATGGCCATCCCGGCGGGCGTCATGGTCCCTGCTCAAAGCAAGGCCTTTCAGACAGTGTAGAGAGTAAAGGAAGCAAAGCCTGGTGCGGGTCTCCGTACAAGACACCCACAGTGACTCTTCCAAAAGTATGATTGGAAAAATAAAATACACACACAAACAAAAAAACAAAAACAAAGAAAAAAACTATAAAATAAAAGCATAATTAAAAAATAAAATCAATCATATAAAATCTAAAAAGTTGAATGCATATTTACAAGGGAAAATACACAGTGCTTACCCCCTTCTGAAGTATTAAAAGAAAACAAGGGAGGAACTAAAGAATAAGATTTTTTTATTCTCATTCTTTGGTTCTCTCTCCTTCTTTTGATCTCATGGCGCAGTCTGACCCTTTTTTTAACATTATTTGTTTTTCTCTCTCTTTTTGAGCCCTTGAAGGCTTTGTGGACAGTGGGGTGGAAAGATTTCCCCAAGTGCAGTTTATTTATTTATTGCATCAGAGAGGCTAAAGGTCCAAGGGCAGGCTGGGTTTATGAAACATGATGGCGAGAGGAAGGACCAGCCGACTCTGAAGAGAAATGAAGGATATTATCCAAGAACTTGTTGTTTCTGTTGAAGGCGATGGGGCGGCTCTGGGAATATGAACTGTCCATCTCATTCCCATTCATTTTTCCCAGAATGCAATGCAAACATTGGCCGTGGCTCAGACATCAAAATCGAAGGCAATCTTATTAATACCTTAACAACAATTTCCACTAAGAAGAAGTGACGTGATTGGAAAATATGGTCCCTGATGGACATTTCAGCACATGGATGACGACGTGTCATTGATGCAGTGGTACAGAGAGACTAACGGTTCAGTTATCGTGAAACACACTGTTTTGCTACCTTAGCACGCTATATTTTACAAAAAAAACACCTGTTTAACTGTATTTAAATTATGCCATTGTCATTGTTTTTTTTGTTTTTTTTTGCGCAAACCCACTTTTTCTATGTAAATTAGGCTGATATTGTATCTTTTCATCAAAAATCAATGCTACTAATGTTTTGCTATTACTGCCCACAGATGCAGACGATAAAATGTAGTAAAAGAGATTGCATCGATGTATTCTAGCAGCGGTAATTCATCACATGGTGATTAAATGATGGAAGAAGAGCATTTTAACTTTTACATAGTCCACCTTAGACATTCTACTAACTATAAGTAACTTTGCAACTACATGTCAACTAGCAGTCATTAGAATACTAGCGACTGTCTGCTTAATATCTGCTAAGATTTTATTTTGATGGTCCTCCAAACATCATTCAACTGACTATAAGTAACTTTTCAAGTACATGTCAACTTATTTTACTAATCCTAACCCTAACCTTACAGTCTACTAATACTCTAATGAGAGTTAGTTGACATGTAGTTGCCATGTTACTTAGTATAACTTCTGAAGTTGACTATCAAAATAAAGTGTAACGTTATATCCCGATGCGTCATCCAGTCAAGAGCACTTTAATCACCATTTCAGGTGCCTAGCATTGCTGTATGTACATTCCCAGTAAAGTACGCCAGATTGCAGTAGTCTGCTGTTTCCTTCACAACCTAGCGCTCAGAACTGACCTGCATAATTGTGGCATGCAAAATGCAGCCATTACCTAATTTGCACAACTCCATTTGTGAATTGGGTGTTAAAAAACATGACGTGAGGAAATAAACAGTGCCGTTAGCGGGTGCAATTGATCCTTAGTGAATTCCCCCTGTGTGTCAACTGCTCTCTACACACTGATAGGAATTTTTGCAATTAAATCTATGAATAAACATGGAGCGTACTGTACGTCCTTGACAGAAAGTCTGCGGTCTGGTTGCGGATGTCATCCTCACCGTTTCAGTTTGTATTACATACCGAGCGTGGTATATTTGTTACAGCTGTATTTCCAGTGATACTGAAACCAAAACCTGTCACGAATACTATGAATGTGTATGTCAAAGATAGTTTTGTTTTTTATTTATTTTTTCCATCTTTTCTAGAATACCCAGTGGTACTACATAATAGCATATGAGGCACAAGTAACGTTCGACTATAATCTCACAGTACTGTTGGACAAGTAATTGAAAGGGAATGCCATAACAGGGACTTATGTAAAGAGCGTGTGTCCGCATTTGCGGTACTCTCCTTCTAGCTAGTGTTTGCACCACGGTACCGTCCCAGGATTCTCCTAGGACCCTCTAACAGCAGGCTGTCTCAAGATGGCTGGCTCTTTGTGCCAACTGCCCCGCGGCTTCCTCCACCAAGTGCTGTCAAAAAAACCCTCTCCATTAGCGGTGTCTCGAAGCCCCTGGGAAGACCTTGCTTGGTGCATTTGTGAAATTTGAAATGGACAAGTTGCCTGTTTTGTGTGCCTTCACAGTGAATTCTTCCCCCGAGATTGCTTTTGTCCTTGGTTCTTTGCAATGTCCCAGACAAAAAAAAAAAAAAAGGAAGCCATGTGTAAAACGCCCCTCACCAGCGGATGGGGAGAGAGCACTCTGGCACAAAGAGGCAGTCCAAATGCAGCCACACGAATAATAGTCACTCTGTTTTATATTGTACATACAGATAAATATACGCACACAATATAATTTAAGTTATCGGTTGAAGATTGGGGTTATAGGTCATGATAAAGATGTAGATGAGGTATTATGCATTTTCAGAGAGTAATAATTGGTCATTGTAGCCCCTGACCCGCTAAGCTCTGTTTAATAAGTAAAATAATTTCCTTCTTAATGGCTACTTGTAAATCTGCCATTGATGGACCTTAATATTTAAGACAGGAAAAGCCGTAAGACGTGAGGAAGAAAGCATACAACACTCTTTTTGGGCCACTTTCAAGTGTATGTGCCAACCTTGTTCGTCATTCTTATTGGGTTGCAGTTGTGATTGAGTCGGTAATGTAGCCGAGTGCTGCCTATGCCAATTCGCCGCCTTCCTGTTTCCTTCCCCAGCAATTGTGTTTGATACACACTGACACACTTCTTCCCAAGTGTACACACACACTACTTCCCAAGTGTACACAGCCTAACACGACCTCATCAATAGAGACACACTCGAGACGCGCTCTCCAGAGCCGCATTCTCCACGAGGCGGTGTAGGCGGTGTTGCTGGCTGAACTGTTGTCAGTAAGTGTGATGGATGGGCTGTCATGCAGAGTGGGGAGTGAATGATGTGAATTGTAAGGAGAACACAGGGTCCAAACACTACAGAGGTTCTCCAATACCTTTACCCCGAAAAAAGAGACCAAGATGAAACCCATCCAATTGGACCTTCACAATATGGCTTTTTTTGTGGACAGTTACTCTACTTGTCCAAGTCTTGAAATGTTTGCTCTGTTCCAAATCCTATTGAGCTGCCTTGCTGTCTACTGCCTATATATGTAGCTGGCTCTAAGGTTAGCATCCTAATAGAGTGCAATTGTGGCCATCCACATTCGGTGGCCTTGGTTCCTGAACTATTTTTCCCATAGATAGATTTAATTCAAGCATTATAAGCCATGAACCACACCAACCAGTTACGAGAAGAATCACAATGTTAAAAACTTTGATCTGAAGCAAAATTATATTTGAAAATCAGACAATAAGACAAAGGTACAAGACAACTTTAATGAGGGAAAGAACTACAATTCTATGAAGCTTTGTGACTAGATCATTTATTTTGTGTGTTTGTGCTTCATGGGAGTGGGGGTGGGAACTAAAGGGTTATTTTGGTGCAATTTGCTTGTTGCAGTTCTCTGATTGGTGAAGATTTCTTTGCAGAATCATGGGTAACAACATTTTTTAAAATAAGTTGAAATAATGCAAGCCAGTGGCTTCAACAAAAGAATATACTGTCGAAGATCAAACTCATAGCTCACAGTAGATCTCTAGGGTGTGTAACTGTAAAATGTTGGAAATTTGGAAAAAAAAAAAAAATTTAAATTTGAATTTTTACTTCTGGAGCCCGAATGTTGCACTCTATTGAAATGGAACCTCACAAGACTGGTGTGGAACACTCTACAGAGGACAAAAGTCATTTAGTGTGTTTTGATTTCAATATAGCTTGGCGTTAACATGTTGCTAAGCTAACAACACACTCTAGTTATCGTTTTTTGGCTCTTTGTCCTCCATCTTGGATGGAATTTTTTCTGTTTGAAATGCATCAGGTGATTGTAATTTACAAAATGCTGCCTTGATATCTACTGCCTACAGATGAAGAGCCCCCAAAGGCAGCATCCAAACTGACTTATCCTAACTTAGAATGTACTGTTCAATTAGGAACATGCTAATGCCAAACTCTAAAATTAAAGGTTGAGGATTTTGATTTCAATACAGTTGCAAAGCAGAGTTTCAGATTAGTACTGTAATAAGCATAAAACTGCATAATACACAAATATTGACTCAAATAGTCTGTTTTAATTATATCTAACCATTTTTTTAGTTTTGAATTAATTTTATTAATCAACATTGCCCCGGCCATTTTGGATTTTATTTTTTTGTATTTATTTTTTTAGCTTAGTGCAATGCATCATGCGATTGCATTATAAGGATCCAGGTGATGCTGGCCATCGGAAGGTATCTCAGAATCTTTTGGAACAGCCTTAAATGTTTAAAAATGCTGCATACAGCAGCTCTGTAGGTTTTGGAACAGAACCGTTGTTATATGTTTATTTTGGTCCCTTTTTTATTTTAGGACATTACAGCACCAAACTAGCCAAGATTGGACCACTTTATTACGAGGGAAGCTGATTGAAAGCTTGCCTTCCAGCAGTTTTGTTCTCACATTCAGGCACTCAAGGTGATTTTTATTCCTTTATGAGCCCTCCCCAGCGTCTTCCAGCGAGAAGAACCGGTCTCTTTCCTCAGACAATTAATCTTTAGTGGCTTTTATTTCAACACTGTTAAAGAGCTGGCATGGTGTTTAGAAATCATCAGTGTATGTACACTCTTCCACAGAGCCGCCAAAGCATCTGAAGCTGTGCTCACGTTGCATGAGGACATTCAGTTTTGAATGGGAGCTCAATCCAGGGAGTGAGTTAAGGTCCATCTGCGATGTATTTTTGAGATAACACTCTATTTAAAAGACGTACTTGACTGTGTATGTAGCCTCTAACCGATCATTGTTACCCAACATGGTTGTTATTAAAATAATGTCGGATGTCTAAAAAGGCTCCTTCGACTCCTCTTAGAAACTGTAGCAGTATGTGTTACTTCGAGGGGTGTAAAAAGGGAATTATTTTCCATTGGAAAAGCAAAGGAATTGCATGTTATGGCCTAAAGGTCAGATATTGGGAATGCTTTGCTTCAGTGTTCATACCTGTATTCGGCTGAATATGTAAGTGTAAATATGACCAACATCCTCTCTGTGCTTTGTTTTAACATTTACTGTGCTTTCCTCTGTTATCTTGAGGGTTTTTTTGTTGTTCTTGTTTTGTTTGTGAATGTGGGAACTCGGGCCTGTATTTGCCCGAGACTCCTCGTCTGGTGAGACTGAAGGGAAAATACTTCATTTCTCTTTGCTGTTGCACACATTTTGAGTTTTGTAAACCAGTTTGTTCATTTTGAAGAAGATCCATTCTTGTAAATATGTCCCTCTACAAGTAAAAAAATGTATATTTTTACGGACTCTGAGTTATTAATACTTCATTTGCAAATAAAATATTCAACAACAAGCTATTTGGCAGCCCATTATTTGATTAGTCCAAAGCAAAATCGCATGCATTTGTGTATACGAATGTTTGTAGAGAGAAAAAAAAAATCACCTTTATCATGAGCAATGTGGAAATGTTGCTGAAAACAAAAGAGGCATAATTCAAATATTATTCAAAATTATTATAATTTGATTTGAGCTATTATGTAGACAGTGAAATGAGTGAAACAAGTGATATCATTAGACAACGATAATGTTCC